TTTCCCCGACGAGGAGTCAGATTTCCCCGACGAGAGCAAAGTGGGCGTGTCAAGCTTCGATTAAAAGGCTTCGAAAGTGGTCCAGAGGGCGAAGCCCCCGAAAATTTTGACAATTTAGGGGTTTCAAAGGATTATTTATTCGAATTTAGAGTCTACTAATTATGTAGAAAATACATATAATTTTTTTTCTCCCCGACGAATTGTGCTTTAACTCCCCGATGGAGGAGCGGGCAGCTTTCCCCGATGGGGGGGGGGGAACCATGGCCCTCCCGGCCCCCTGCTGGCGCCACCCCTGGTGAATACTTTTCTTTTACTCCATTGAGCTATTCTTTCCTATCCCATTACCTAAGAGTGGTACTTTTTAGGCGATTTCCAGTAAAAAATACTTTAACGTTTTTTTAATACTTCAAATGTGACGTAAATAACGCAGATCGAAGATGAAAATGCATGGATATTATAACGTATCGTACGGTACATCATAATACAAAATAATAATTTACTTAATAACCATTGTACCATTGTTCAATCTGTCCACATTTTTCTAAACAAGTTGTTTATGAAACAATATTTTTTACTTATTTACATAACACACATTAATTTGTAGCTTTATGCATATTTTAATACACCTGTTCGATATTACTGTGAATTAATTTTTTTCTTAGGAGAGTGCAATAATGATTACCTTTTCAAATGTAATAATGGTAGCGATGCAGGTATATGTATTAGTCGACATCTTGAGTGCGATCGCTCTAAAAATTGCTATGACGGTGAGGACGAAGACAATTGTGGTAAGGGTAAATTTGTATTACTTGTGGTGCCTTAAAATAATTTCCAATACAATTGTCGATATCATAGTGTTGCTTTAAAAATTGCCAAAATCATTCATTAATACTCAGAAAATAATTTAAATACGAGACAATATTATCAATATTATGAATAACGATATGGTTCAGAGTCCAATTACATTTATCGTCATAGAACAACACCAAAATGAAAAAAAAAACGAAAAAATATTAATACAATAATATTAATAATATATATTTATATGCCTATACATAACTGGAAGGCTATATATATATATATATATATATATATATATATATATATATATATATATATATATATATATATATATATATATATATAT